CCGCTCTCGCTCTGCGCCTTTCTAGAGAACACTAGCAGGAAAAAAAAAAACTAAGTTGCTTGCCCTGCCTCGCCACGTGTGTCCTGCGGGGCAGCACTCATTCATTCATTCATTCATTCATTCATTCACTCCCTCCCTTGCAGCTGCGTGCGCGTGTGCCACCTCGCCCTCCGCTGCGGCGTGCATCAATGCAGGAGGCGCGCGACACGGCGAACGGCGTCGGTGTCGCAGTAGCAGAGCAAAGCAGAAGCTCTGGCCCCGACAACGATGCCTCGCGCAGGTACTCGGACTCCCACACGACGCCATGCCTGAGCGATGGGAGCAGCAGCATCGTTCAGTGGCTGTTGGAAGTCGACGCCGCGCGGGGCGAGGACACCCCGGCGGACATGGAGCAGGAGGAATTCCTCACCTTCTTTAAGGGACGCTCCCAACGGGGAAGCACGCCCATGGCGTCAGCCGACGCTGTCACCGCTGTGCCGCTCTGCGGGGAGGAGGAGGAGCCGCCGCGGACGAGGTCCGCCGTGCGACCTTCGCCGCAGCTCACCTCCAGCGCGGGGTGCCACAGCAAGCCTAGGTGGGAGGCCTTTTCGAGCTTGCCGCATACCGACAGGTCGTCGATGCAAGGCGAAACCTCCGCCTCACGGCTAAACGGCGGCGGTTTTATGATGCTGACGGCTGCCGCAGCGGTGGTGACCACCGATGGCCACTGCAGTTACTCCTCCGGGTTTGGGCCGCAGCCGCAGCCGCAACCGCAGCCGCAACCGCAGCCGTGCCATCGCCAGCAATCACCGCTGGCGCTGCCGGCATCGTTTGGGCGCGGCTTTCTGCAGCATGCGACCAACGGAAACAGCAGCAGCTGCAGCATGCCTGACCTCTCGCTGCCGCCCTCACTGGGCACAGGCGGCCGCATGACTCTCTCAGGGACCCCAGGGAAACGATCCGGCAACCGTGAGCCCGCCAGCGCCAACGCCGTTCTCCTGGAGCCGGCCTGTGGCGGGAGTGACACCACCACGCCACTGCGGCAACGCATACTTCCGGTGGCCGACCGCCTTAGACAGCCGCCCTCTGCCCCCCACCACCACCGACGCTGCCGGGATGTGGGCATCCAATTTTGCCGCAATGGAGCCACAAACCCCCAAACTGGGTCGCTGCAGAAGCTGCGACTCAACAACCCGCCTAAGTTGTGCCCTCCACATGCAGCCAGGCTCCAATTGCTCGCCACGGGGTGCGACACCACCACCACCACCACCAACAACAACAACAACAACACCGCGCCCTCTCCCGCCAGCCCCACGACAGGGGAGGCGAAGGGCCCGCGCCAGTAGCTGCCGCCTGGGCGCAGGGAGGGGATGGGATGGGATGGGTGTGCGTGTGTGGCTCGCAGGCGGGGCGGGCCGCCACGCAGGGAATCTGTTGGCGAAGGCGTGTGGAGATTAGGCAGCCCCCTTCAAGCGTAGTTTTCTTTCTTTCCTTCTTTCCTTCTTTCTTTCCACTCTCTCTCTTTTATTCTATTTCTCGTTCTCTCTCGCTCGCCCTATCTTTATTTCATTAGAGTGTGTCACCGTTTCCAGTTTTTAAACCTACTCTTGTTTTCCCTCTTGCCTCCCTCTTTCAGTGTCTTCTCGACGCATGTTGCTTCCCTCACTCCCCCCCCAAGTTTTTCTCATGCAGCAGCAACAATAAAAACAAAAACAAAAACACCGGACTGCGCTTGTCTTCCCTGCGCCGCCACGGTGGGCCGAGGCGTGCGAGGAGGGACGCCGATGAGGCGGGGGTGAGAGCCACGGCGGCGACTGGGCCCTCGTTGTCTCTTGCGACCCGGCCCCACTCCGCAGGGAAGGTGTTTTTTTTTTAGTATGGGGGGGAAATATACATATACATACATATATGCATATTTGTATGTATTTCCAGTCTTGTAACGTTGCCTCCGTTTTTTTTGTTGTTTTTGTTTTGTTTTTCCTTTTTTATTGTACGTTTACCGCGTTCATATTACTTTTTATTTTTATTGTAATATTTACTTGCATATGTATGACATATATATATATATATATCTGTGGCTGTGTGTCTGTGTGTGTGTGGTTCCCACGGGCCACCTTCGCTGTTGTCGTCGTTCCCGCCCCCGCGGCGCATGCGTCAACGCGCGAGGGGGCCGGCACACCCACGCAGACGCGCACAGGCAGGCGGGCGGCCTCGCTTCCCCGCCGCCCCGCCCAAAGACAAGGCTTCTTTCACACCGAACACCTTTATGTTACTCTGCTGTATTATCTGCCAACATGCGCTCTCTGTGGGTGGGTGCGAAGTGAGTATTTTTTCCCATTTTTTTCCCCCCACCCTTTTGTTGTTTCAAGTTTTTCTATAGAGTTTATGAGTCTGTTGTCGGGTACGTGTGGGTAGATGTCTAAAAAACAACAACAAGCAATTAAGTACGTATTCCTGCCTCCCACACCTCTTTTTTGGTTATTTGTTTTTTCTTTGCCCGAATTCGCTCATCGTGCTATGCCTTCTTTTATTTTGTTCTGCC